TAAGCACAACCCTCATTTTACCTCTCTTTTCTGAACCAGTTTCTTGGCTTCTAAATGTATTCACTTTTCCATACGTACCGTTAGATTTGATAAAGAGTCACAAATTGTTGAGATATTGTTTAAAATCTAATAGTGCTTCTCGATTCTAAATTCGTTCTACTAGTTTCACTTCCGTCCTAATGCATTGAAACGTCATTAGATTTTCTTCGTCCTACGGATAAACGTAGAAAAAGGGGATTCGCTAGGAGCGCTTCTTTTGTTTTGAGAACAATGAGCGTAAATATTCATACATTGCGCTCTAACAGGATTTATGTTGTCGCTAATGAAGTAACGCATCGGAACAAACCTATTATTGATTTGTGCACCGTGAAATCATTGATATTATTGATATTATTTAAAATTACCGTGTACAGTGTGATAAGAAAAGTTGCGAACAGACGGGATCGTTAACTGTCAAATTGGTGTTTATGAAACCATTATTATTTAGATTTTTTTTCCACTTCATGATCGAGATCGAGACATTTAAGTCCGTTTTCTTCAAAATTTATCCAGATAATAATATTTCAAAAATTTTCGCTTGTCTGTAATCTCGACTTATCATAAATTTTCTAAGATTTTGAAAAAAAAATCTGGTCAAAATATCCGGGCTATTTAACTTCGTAATCTTAAAAGTTTTCTAAGCCTAAGGTGGTTGAAAAATGGTCTAGGAAAATTTTCAAGCTCTAGACAATTTTTCAAAGACCTTCAGCTTTAGTATTTTGCGCATAAAACATAACCACAAGAAGTACCTTACCACCTATGCGGGATATCATCCCAACTCAATGCGGTATGGCTACCACATCTACGATATTGTTCGTTTATGGTACCCGTTTCTTAAGATTATCCATACATCGAGAAAGAAATCATGTAGCAGAATCTTTAGTTCTTTTCTAAATCCATTAAATCGAAGACTACATATCAAGAACACTGACAACTTTACCTGAATCCAAGCGTCAGACACAGTAGCGCTGCGCTCGAGCGAAGGTGGAAGCAACGCAGAGAAAAATGGGCAAATATACAAACCTTTCTTCTGAGGATGGAACCTTTGCTATCCAATTCGTTCGGAGCATTTACCTTTGGGCGGCAGATGACGAAATTATGACTGTTTCATACCGGTCTTTTGAGAAAGTGGAAGAGTTTCCAGTTTTCTTGATATGTTGTCTTCGATTAAATTGCGTTGTATTTTTTTCCGAACTTTCAGTCCGGAATAAAAAATGTCTCTGTCCAAATTAAAAAAAAATACTATATCCACAAGATCAGGGAAACAAAAGTGTTCGATCATGACAAAATAAAAACGACATGCAAGTCAAAAAATAATTTTTTCAACAAAGATAAAATTGAGTGAAAGTTGATAAAATTGAGTGAAAGTGTGTCTACAACAAATGCGGTTGATCGGAATGGTGAAATGAAATATGACATATTTCGGCATAAATGCCCCTTATTTGAGCCCATACATAAAATCAGCAATCTACTAAATTTTCAATAGGGGCCAAAAATATCCATTAGTACCGTCCCAATGACGCGTTCATCTAGATAAAATTGATAAATAACAGATTTTTAGTGATGGGCCTAATCTTAGATCCATAGGCCAACACTAGAGCAATTTTCCCTATGCATCGCTAACCGCGTTGCTGCAATCAAACTTTCAAACAATTTTATGTTTTTCCTTCCACCGTTCCGATCAAGCTAGAGGTCAGAGAGTGTTTGTCATGATAATCGTAGAAAGCATTTTTTTTGTGTTGTTGATTGTTCTTTGATTCCTTGTCCAATATGATAAAATGTTTTCTATGTTTCAAAAACATTTCAAGGACTGTGAACTTATATTATATTCTATATCAGAACTGCAAAATATCGAATATTATTCCAAGCAGCATAATTTTCTAAATTTGTTGTTCTCAGAGATCTCGAATTTTTAAGTAATTTATAGCATTTAAAAAATTCAAAATCCCTTTAATTAATGCCAGAATATTCCATTTTTCTCCATGATCGAGATTATACTAAGTCCAAGATGCATCTTGGAAAATTTTCCCCGTTCCATAATAATGAGATTTACAGAGTTCGAAGGAAATGCTATACTAATATCGAAATAAAGCTTTAGTGCGATAATTTATTAGCTAGAGAAAGTTCTGAATAGGATAGGTTGATAGTTCCGCTAGAGTAATTGAATAGAAGTTGATATTGAGCGAGAGCCAATAGTACGACAATACTAGTCAAACGCACACTCCTTTACCGTCAACAATGCTGATTGTTGGTACATCTCACCACATCTCTCTGATAGCGAATTCGTTTATTATCGGGGTGCGAAACCGAACTTTTTGTCAGTGCGAACCTCAACCTGAGCTAGGTTTTAAAAACAAACGAGCAAACTGACGTTTGTCAGAAAACAAGCAGACCCAATCCTGATACCCGATCCAGGTTGGAACTGAATAATAAACGAAATCGCTATGAGATGAATATGTTGGTCATGACTCATGACGAGAGAAGCAACACAATAGTTGAGTAAAGAATAATTACATTATAACACACCACCGCCTGGAAATGCTTTCGGCAACGTGGAGCTTTAGGTATAGATAAATAAACGCCACTAGCTATTCCACAGCTGCAGGCAGTATGTGATCAAAACAAACGCGCACTATTTTGCCTATGGATTTGAGGAAATACCTCAAGTACCCTTGTCCATTAATGTATAAACACAGACAAACAGACATAACACTCGCAAGTTGTTCATCGAACAAGCTTTTAACGGTTTTAAAAGTATCGTAGTTGGTAGTACCACCACCTGTGACGAGCATAGTCATTTCCCTTGAGTTTGACTACCACCATCTGTTCAGCGTACTACCCACCACAGTTTACTCAACAGAAATCACTTGCAAGTTTCCCGTATTTTTTTTTTCCGAAAACTGCGTTCAATTAGCAGTGAAAGATATTTTTTCAATTACTTCCTAAAATTTTCTTTCCAATTCCAATAATTCCCATTTTTTCAAGTTTCTCTGGAAATATTGTTCGTCTACATTAGAATGCTTCTTGACTTCACCTGGCAAATTCTTCCTTTTTCTCTCGGTTATTTCTCTAAACTTCCCTCCATGTTTTCTACCATTTTTCTCGACGATTTTTCTACGAAGCTTCGTCAAGCAATTTCCAGAACTCTTTTAGGTGTCGCCAGCCAGTGTCTGTCTTCTGAAATCCTTCCAGAAGATTATTCTGGCTCCTCCTAGAACTTTATTCTGGCTGCCCTTAAACCTTTCTGACTCTTGGAAGATTCTTCCGAATTTCTACTGAAGTATCCTTCAAAGGAAGTTTCTACTAGCTCCCATTTTCTCCAGGAAGCATTTTTAACATCCACTGGAATTTTCTTTTGAGCTCTCCCAGAAGTAGTTTTCAACATCCTCTGAAAGCATCTCCAGACTTGTCCGTAGATTTATCCCAGCTTATGCTGGAAGATTCGTCCGAGGCTCTTCGAGCATCCCCTCTCATTTTCCTTCAACTTCCCGAGAAGTTGCAGCCGTCTTTTCTCGTAAGTCTTTGTCCACTTCCCTCGGAAGATGCCTACAACTTCTTCAGGGACAGTCCTCCAAATCATCCAAAAACTCTTTCTGGCTTCTTGTGGAAGTTTATACCGACTGTTTCCCGAAGCTCCCCAAAATATTCTTCCGACTTCCTCCAAATGAACATTTGCTTTCTGCTAGCATTACCTTTTGTCTTTCTTAAAAAGTTTTTTTTTTAGACCGATCAACCCCGATGACTTTTTCCTATTTATCCCGGAATATGAAATAAAGTTCCATCCAAATATAATTTAAATAGTTAGATATGCTTAACGTCAAATTTCAGACTTAAAGTGGTCATTGTATACGATAGACGAAGGGATGAAATTATAGAGTTGGTAGTTCCTTCAGAATACGGCAAATATGAAAATTGTATATAGAGAGTAGAAAGTGATAAAAGTTATATTTTGAAGAAGGTACGAATCGGGTTGATCATCTCCTTTATCAAACTCCCCCGTTGGGGAGGGATGGAGAAGGGTATCCCCCCTCCCCCGCCACCACTGGTTATATACTGGATACCCCTCAAAATGGAACGATTACTGTAATACTGATTTTTCGAGGCAAAATTTATGGGATCCTTAAAGCATTGGATTTATTTTAAAGTAGCATTAAAAGTTGTACTCATGATGGGTTCCGTGAGTTCATGAAATTTATCAAAGAGGGTCGCGAAAGATTAGAACCATATATTTCCGATCAATAAATGTCACAATGATTTTAAGATCACATCAAAGTGGTTGCAATTCAATCGTGTCGAAAATATGGTGTAATATTACTTGCCAAAAAGGACAAAATTATCATTAATACAATGCGTGAACTGAAATTACGCTGCTTTTACTGCATTTGTTTATTTTTGTGGTCATAATAATTAAATGAGATTTTCGACATGATTGAAGTGCATCCTATTGGATGTAATATTAAATTTTATTTTTTTGCTGTATAGTGTTGTTATCTCAAAATTGACGAAAGTCCGTATGGTATTGAAATGCGATTATAGGCAGTGAACAATTCGACAGTGAGCATGCATAAGGGCGTATACGCGATGATTGATTCTTTTCATCGATTTTCTCTTTGCATTGCTGCAGCTAAGCGAAATAATTGTCTAGAATTTGTTCAATGCAGAGTTGTAACAGGTTGTATTGGTTTAAAAAGCAACAGAAACGCACCGAGAAACGTTAAATCTAGCATTAATAACGTTAAATAAAGAGAAAATTGATGAAGAGAATCGATCATCGCATTTATGCCCTTATGCATGCTTACTGTCAAATTTAGGACTGGACATATCCATGCCCATATCTAAAAGATCTCGAAACCCGTCTATTCTGAACGAGCTTCCATGCACTCACTCGAAGAACTTCTAATAACAAGACACTATGGAATGTTTCATTCGTGGTTCATTTCCCTTTGTGTGCATACTTCTAGAGTCCAAGGTGGAGAGCTGTTCGAGCGCGTAATAGACGATGACTTTGTGCTGACTGAGAAAGCGTGCGCCGTCTTCATGCGACAAATCTGCGAGGGAATGGAATACATCCACAGCAGGAGCATAATTCATCTGGACATGAAGGTGAACATGGAGGACATCCTCCATCGCCCTACAGTGACCCCTATCTTTCGGAGGTCGTGTAATTAAATCTTTACTTTTTTTTTTTCATTTGTAGCCCGAAAACATTCTCTGCCTCACAAAGACTGGTAACAGGATAAAGATTATCGATTTCGGATTTGCCAGGCGATTTGATCCCAGCAAAAAGCTTCATGTAAATACTACTGAAATTCTAACCAAAAGTGCCGGGCGTCTCCTCACTGAATTACTAATAACCTATCAATCTTCCACCAACAGGCCATGTTCGGCACGCCAGAGTTCGCCGCCCCGGAAGTCCTCAACTATGATGAAATCTACTTCTACACGGACATGTGGAGTTTGGGAGTCATCTGCTACGTTCTGTAAGTATGCTTCGTGTTACGCAAAATCAACACATTGCTTTCATTTCATCGCTTCAGTAAAACATACTAAGGCTCAATTAACCGGCATTTGTTTATGCACCTTCGCTATTGCATGCCTTCTAACCCTCGCGTGACTCATCGGCGGCTGTCGGATTGACCCTTGGTCCAAAACACCGTTCTTGTTTGGCATCGCATTCTCAGTTCCTGTCTCATCTCGTTGTCCTCAGTAGTGCTCGAAGTGGAACTTTTTGTTACTTTCTTGTTAACTCCACAGACGAATTGAACGCACTGCACCTGGGGAATCAAAGGTAGAATCAGGACCTACACCCCCGGGCGTTGTTGCGTGTTGTTTCCCCTTGCCTGTTTTTTACCAGTTAAATAGATAGGAATGTTCGTTTCTCTTTCAACCGTTCAAGACACTAACAGATTTGATCGTTCCAGACCTTAATACAAGTTTACCAAATCTTAGTTTGTTGTTATCACCCTGTACTGCTGTTAATGATAATCCATGAGCCTTTCTTCCACAGAAGCTTTAGAGGGGAGGGACGGGGTGAAAGAGAAAGAAACTGGGAATGCGAATTGGGATCACAATCAAGAATAGTGTTCTTGGTAACATAACGTTTTAACTTTAGTTTTTATTATTGATAATCGGGCCGGTTACGAGGCCGCATCCATTTTCTGCTGTACGGAATCGACAAGCTAGGAAAAGCCTTGCGGAAACTGTACACCGGGGGAATACAATTAGTGAACCCACGGGAGAAATGTGCAGCGATGGCTGCTGAAGAAGGTACCTTTTCCGATGGATTTTCTGTGCGAGTCTATTCCAAGAAGTTTTGTGAAATAGGGTTGATTTCCCTAATGTCGGCCTAGTTGTCCCGAATATTGAGCCCATACATATGTATCGAAGGCACTAGCAACCAAAAATATCCATTTGTATTGACCAAATGACGCATTGTTCTACGGCATATTAAAGAACAGGAAATTTTTATCGAGGGCCCCTATCTTTAGATCCATAGGTAGAGTTATTTCTCCTATGATATTTTTATAATAATAATTAACCTTTAGTTTAAGGTTCATTTGGCCGAATGGATATCTATTGAAATGCACCGAATGTCAAACTGTTCGTTAACTCAGACATTTCATATATATTTTTTTTTCCTTTGGTTTGTTTTTTTCCGTCGATCTTGTTTTCCGTGCTGAGCACCAATGCTACCGACGTGCCAGGAAAGCAGCTCCCACACCTGGACCCTACCTATCGACCCATCAACTCATGAACCGGGGACCAACGGCTTACTTCCCATCCGAAGGAAGGCGTGATCAGAGATGTTATGCCTCAGAACATCCCGGCGGCGCCGACTGGGATTGAACCCAGGCCTGTTGGGGTAATCACGCTTACCACTACACCACCGGCGCCGTTGACATATATTATTTAATATTACGTCTATTTTGCAACATACTAACTGGATATGTGTGATGATTATCTACGATATGAGAAGGTCGTGATCAATTTACATGCTATTTTGAGGATAGTAGCTAGTGATAATCAACTTTAAAAAGTGACGTCTCGTCCATATGAGCATTAGACTGATGCAAAATTTGAAATTTTCGGTCCACGGTGCTCAATCGGTTCCATATTGGGTCCCAGTGTTGAAAAAATATCAAAAAATCAAATATCACCCATACCCAAGATCACGCTTGATTTTCGTAGACAAAAATCAACAAGCAAACAACTGCGGTTGATTTTGCAAGCTGTGATATCACAGCTTGGAATATCAAGCTAACAAAACTCAAAAAAAGAGATAGCAAACTATACTTCCTTTTTCTAAAAAACGATGTCAAACGGAATCATTTTTGTGTCGAGTCAGCTCTCAACTTGATTTTTGCACGTTTTGAATTGTGTCGCAATATCAAAGGAGCTTGTAAAATCAACATCAAGCATTATATTTTGCTCCAATATCACGCGTGATATTGAGAGCGTATGAGAGTGGAAAAATATCAATTGCTAATGATCATGCCATCACTGTTGGGTCCTGATTAGGCTGTCAAAATTTGAACTCATTTATTAATAAACTGACTTGGTAGGTTTGTGTTTATGTGAAGTTTATAAGGAAATTACTATGGGAAAACCAATTTATTTGTGCATACCTATCTCATTTTTTGTTCATACCTATGGAAATATTATAAGTTGCGCTTTAGAGGCGTTGGGAGAAATCTTCCATTTTTTTAAATAAAAAAAGAAAATATCTCAACTTTTCTACAGTGTGCGGCAAACAACACGAAGACTTCTTCCTTTAGCAGAAATGCCTGTGTCATCAGTGAACAAAGATTTGTGGCAACACTGAGGCAAAGCAGAGAAGTCCGAAGTTAAGATGTTATAAATTATAGGCCCAAGAATACAATAGGCCCAAGGAACTCCAGCTCTAAAAGGTAGTCGTTCAGATTTGGAATTTTGATAATTTACTTGCAGAGTTCTGTCAGTTAAATAATTTTGAACTAATTTCACAATATAGAGTGGAAAATTAAACTTTTTCAATTTAGCAATCAATCCTTCATGCCAAACACTGTCGAATGCTTTTTCTATGTCTAGAAAAGCAACTCCAGTTGAGTGGACTTCAGATTTGTTTGAACGAATTAAATTGGTAGCTCTTAAGTGTTGATGAGTAGTTTAATGCACATGGCGAAACTCAAACTGCCCATCTGCAAAAATTGAGTTCGTATTGATGTGAAGCATCATTCTATTCAAAATTATCTTTTCAGAAAGTTTACTTATTGATGAAAGCAAACTTATTGGACGGAAGCTAGAAGCTTCAGCTGGATTTTTATTCGGCGTAAAAATTGGAACAACTTTTGCCTTTTTACATTTATCAGGAAAGTATGCCAAATGGAAACATCTGTTTAATAATTTTACTTTGACTATATGTTTAGTATGACTTCTTCGATAGTCAACGATTTACATAGTTGAAGATGCTAATTTCAAATAACAGACTAAAGTGGTAATTTTTATACGATAGATGAGGAGGAGATGAAAGTATATACTTAATAGTTCCGTTTAAAGTACGGCAGTGATAGGCACACTACCGTACTCTTAACGGAACTATCAATTCTATAGTTTCATCTCCTCCTCATCTATCGTATAAAAATTACTATTTTAGTCTGTTATTTGAAATTAGCATCTTCAACTATGTAAAATTTTACCAAGAAAGACAAGGTACTCTCTGGGAGTTTTTTGATGAGGATATAGAAAATTCCATCATCACCTGGAGCTTTCATATTATAAAACTTTTTAGTTATATATCTTACTTCGTCCAAACCAGTCCCCCAAGAATCATCAAACATATTTTCCCGCGAGAAAATATTCAGATAATCCTGATTCTCAGTAGGACTAGTAAAACCCAAACTATATTATGGGAACTCTCGAATCGCTTAGCAAGTTTCTGAGCTTTTTTTCCGAATTTGTGATCAAAATTTTAGCACCTTCTTTAAGCGCTGGAATTGGCTTTGGAGATTTTTTTCAAAATCTTTGTGAGTTTTCAAAAGGGTTTGGAACTGGGGTATAATTTACAAACATTATTTTCAAAAGTTTTGTTCCTCAGGGTAGAGAATCGCTTTTTAATTTGTTTTTGCAAATCCCGCCAGATAACTTTCATGGCAGAATCGCGTGTTCTTTGATATTTACTCCAAAGGACATTTTTAAGAAGGATCAAGAGCTGAAGATCGTCGTCTATTATAATTGAATCGAATTTAACCTCGCATTTGGTATTGAGGCAGCTCTTGCTGCAACTATAGAAGTAGTCAGAGATTCAAGAGCATAATTAATTTCATCTTTGGTTTGCAAAGAAATGTTTGGATTGAAGTTATGTTCCACAAATGTTCGATATTGCTCCCAATCAGCTCTATGGTAATTGAAAGTAGAGCTGTTGGGATTACAAATTATTTCTTGGGATATTTCAAAAGTTACTGGAAGGTGATCAGAACCGAAGTCAGCATGGGTAACCAATTGGCTACAAAGTTGACATGAATCAGTTAAGACCAAATCAATAGTGGAGGGATTTCTTGCAGAAGAAAAGCATGTTGGGCTGTTTGGATATTGAATAGTGTAATAACCTGCAGAACAATCATCAAACAAAATATTACCATTGGAATTGCTTTGAGCATTATTCCATGAGCGGTGTTTTGCATTAAAATCACCAATAATGAAGAATTTAGACCTATGACGGGTAAGTTTCTGAAGGTCACCCTTGAGAAAATTCTTTTGCTGGCATTGGAATGGCAAATAGGCAGCAACAAACGTTAAGTTGTCCAAATTTTGTTTCAACAGAAACTCCCAAGGTTTCTAAAACTTTGGTTACATATGAAGAAAAAAAAATTATGTTTGATTTGTCTATGAACAATGATGGCAACGCCACTACAGGCTCCATCAAGACGATCATGTCTATAAATGAAATAATTTGCGTCCCTCTTAAACCTTATGGTCAGGTTTAAGGAAAGTTTCAGTTATAACGGCGATATGCACGTTATGAACTATCAAACAGTTAAATAGCTCGTCTTCATTATCTTTAAGAGATCGAGCATTCCAATTTAAAATATTTAATGATTTAAAATCCATTACTGAATTTTAAAGTCATGACGATATTGTTCGGTGGTGTAGTGGTAAGCGTGATTATCTCTCACCCCAGCAGGCCTAGGTTCAATCCCAGTCGGGGCCGCCAGGATGTTCTGAGGCATAACATCTCTGATCACGCCTTCCTTCGGGAAGTAAAGGCGTTGGTCCCCGGTTCATGAGTTGATGGGTCGATAGGTAGGGTCCAGATGTATGAGCTGCCTCCTTGGCGTCGGTAGCATTGGTGCTCAGCACGGAAAACAAGATCGACGGAAAACAAATCAAAGAAAAAAAAAGATATTGTTCGCAAATTTTATTGCAGTTTGAATAGCATCAAACATGGAGCTCAATAATCATGCTAATTTATGATTTCTGTAAAAATTCGATTTTAGGAGTAGTA